TTTCCCTGCTGGGTATTACATCTTCCCCTTTTTACGACCCAGTGAAATACTGGAGAGATCACATGGGAATCTGAAATCTTTGGGCCTTGTTTAGAACTCGGGTTTGCTTGTTTTTGAGGATGTGAGCAAAAAGATTGAATCTTTTCTCTCTGTGTGATTGTTTGATCTGTTTTTTGTTTTTTGTGGTTATGATTCTCCTGTTTGGCATCTCAGTTCTCTTGATCTTTTGTTAGGACAGCCTCCGAGAAACTTCTGTGATGTATTGTTTCAATCTCTTAAGAAGAAATGTAACCATTTTTCCTACATTTACATTCATGTGCGGACAGACGCCTCTTTCTGTTAGTAAATTTGTGAACTGTTTCCTCCATTTACACGTAATCAAAACTATTCACTGTGAATCAGTAAGGTTCTGTCTGCTGGTTTGGCCGAGAAAACACGCAATGGCCAACCATTTGAACCGTCTGTTTCTTGACCGAGTCAACAAAGGTCAATCCGTTTCCATCACATCTAGTCAAAACACTTACTAAACCAGAATTTTCCCTTCTCTTTCTATCCCTAGTATTAAGGCAAAAACCCATTTCCTGTAACGTCTAACCCTGGACTGTATCAGTGATTTGAACCAAGAAATCATTGATTCTCGAGACTTGTCATATGTGGATACAGGTGGGAGAAGTTGGAGAGTTATCAGAGATATTCCAATGGAAAGGTGAAGTGCCGAGAGGGCTTCCTGGTTGGAAAGAAGAAGAGAAAGTTCATCTTGGGGAAGAGTTATCAGATGTGTTGCTGTATCTGCTGAGGCTCTCAGATGTTTGCGGCATCGATTTAGGCAAAGCTGCTCTGCGAAAACTGCAACGCAATGCCATTAAGCACCCCTCTGAACCACCAGCCAGCAAACAAGAACACCAGTGATGGTGAACAACAAATTTTGGCTTAAAGACTGACTTTTTATGTCTTGGAAGGTGCTTAAGAACAGATCATTAGCAGTAGTATCAAGTATTAGTCTTGGGTTTTTAATCGTTTCTGGTTTATGTTTGTGTTTTTGGGGCTGAAAGAAAGAGGGTAAAGGAAGTGCCTTTTGTGTTTTTGTTGAATATGTGGTTTGGTGTTTTTGTGGGATAAAGAACATCCTTAATAGATGTCAGTTTTTGGATGCTTTGTCTTAATCTTTCTTTTTATTTCTTTTAATCAACTCTGTTAAAATGAAATTACAGTAGCTTTTTATGATGATTACAGTAGCCCTTTTTTTTTGGATGTGGTTTGTAATTTTTATTTGGTTTAGATTTTTTGTTTTAGATATTTTGTTAAAAAGTTTTATATTATATGTATATACTCGTTCGATGAAATATATAAAATGTCAAATATTAAAATTTCTATAGGTCTATATTCCAATCCAAAATGTTAAACAAAATGTTAAAAATTATTTGATGATTTTGTTTTTAAATATTAATTAATTTGTTTGAAAAGTTATTTCACAATGTTATTCAGCAATGCAGAATACGAAAAAAAAAAGAGTAATATACTTTTGATTATACAAAATATTAACACACACACACACATATATATATATATAACGGTTTAATGACGTTGCAAAAATTGCTTTGGAAAAATAATTCATTTTCTTTGTCGGACTAAAAAAAAAAGAGAGATTATATGATTTCGATAAGATTAGGAACGAAATTTCGGTTAAGACGCTCATTTGTTCAAGCGATTGGGTTAAGCTTCTCGTTTGCTGTCCTCTAGAAACATCCTGCTTGTTTCCCGAGAAAATCCCCTGGAGAAATCTTCAGCCTTTGCGAGAGGAACTCCAATCCAACGACGATGGCTTCCATTGGTATTCGCGGCTCAATCCTCCTCGACACCTGTTTTCTTAACCCTAGATTGCTCCCCAGCCACCGAAACCTTACCCTCATCCTTTCTCTCCCGCGAAAACCCTACCCCTTTCTTTCCCT